TAAAAAAAATACTTAACTAAAGCAAAAACACAGTATATATATATATATATATATATATATATATATATATATATATACATATATATATATATATATATATATATATATATATATATATATATATATATATATATATATATATATATATATATATATATATATATATATATATATATATATATATATATATATATATATATATATATATATATATATATATATATATATATATATATAAATTTAAACAATTTAAAATGTATTCTACAAAAAGAGTGCTCAATGTTCTTAAAAGAACAGAGCAATTACAAATTAGTAGAAAATCACTTAGCAAAATTTTTTCTCATTTAACACTGTGTTTCATCAATAAAGACTCATCAGAAATCTTTCTGATGAGATTTCTGATGAGTCTTTATTGATGAAACACAGTGTTAAATGAGAAAAAGTTTTGCTAAGTGATTTTCTACTAATTTATATATATATATATATATATATATATATATATATATATATATATATATATATATATATATATATATATATATATATATTAAAATGCTTAGCCTATTTAATTTACGCATTAAAAAAACTATTTAATTCTTTGTTTTAACATTTGTACTATGTTTTTTGTTTTTTTTTTAATGTTTTAAAAGATAAATATTTGTCATAAAAAATACATAATTATAAAAGTAAAAAAAAAACAGTTTATTAACACTTATTATAAAAATTCATTAGAAATGTTTTGTTACTTCATTAAGAAGCCTTTGGATAATATAGATCAAACTTTAATTGTAATGGCTTTCGAAAACATTTGTCTTTTTTTTTTTTCAATGAAATTTTGTTCATCTTTTCAAATGTATTAAATTTAATTATTCTTATATTAAAGTTTGTTAAAGAGACTTTCGTTTCGTTCAAATGTCATCGTTTATAAAAACAAAACAATTTTTTAATATTGTTTACTATAAAAAATGCACACCTAAACAATTTATGTATTATAAATTAAAAAAATATATACAACTGTCAATTATACTAAAAAAACCATTATCAGTTAATTTTCACTTTATTTAAAAGTATTTCACTAATATAAAAACATTTGTTAAGAAGTTTTGATGTAATTTATTTCACTTATTTCAGTAAAATAATAAAATTTATTTCAGTAAAATAAATTACATCAAAACTTATAATTCAGAATATTTTTCATTCAGCGTGTTTTTAAAATGTTTTTTGAAATCACAGCGGTCAAATTGTCAAACCAAAATGTAATTTGCCTGGTCATATAAAGAGATGTGATCGCACGTCTTCCTGTGAAAGACTGTGTTTCATATAAACTCCATATTTGTCTATAATGTGTATAGAAACAAAATCTTTTTGTATATACACTAAGAAGCTCTTCTTTAACTATAAAGTACATCAAATTTTTTTTTTTTTTTTAAACTCAGATCTTCTGTACACATGGTTTTTATGATAAAACGTTAGTTGCATTTCCTTATACATGTTATTTAATTTATCATTTCTTTAGTTTGTTCATATCTTCATACTTGTTGTTATATTTATCATGTTGTTTAATTGAGATTTTCTAAAGTATATGCGCCAGAAATCACATTTACATGTTATTTCTGGTGTATACCCTTTATAATACTCAATTTGTTTTGCATATCGAAAACATACTTAACATTTAAATGGTGTGACTAAATTGTTGTCATTTAACATCTCCTCCCATTTATTTAAGTTATTTTTTGCAAGCGTGGTTTATTAATTTTTGAGCTGTTGTTAGCTGTAAATTTCTATTGCAAAGTTTGTTTGTTTTTTACAGCCAGTGGTTCTAATTCTGATCCTGCTAGTTTTTAAAAATGTTGTATGTTTCTTTTTAGTCCCCTTTTTTTTTTTTTTTGATAACTTAAGTAATTTATTTTTTAAATGTTCAATTTTTAAATTCTCAAATTGCACCAAAATTTTATTAGGTTTTTTGAAAAGATTTAATAAAAAACAAGAACACATACATCTGTCCATACGTACGTATGTATAGTAAGTGACCAGGGTCCTGGCCCTGGCTCCAGCTAAATGAGCTTTTTACAAACCTGACATTGGCAAAATTATAAGATTTGGCGGGGTTTGATAGCTGGGGCTAGGAAAAAAAATTATAACTTTTTTTATTATGCATTTATGCATTTACTATTTATTAAATAATAGCATATATATTTGTGTATATATATATATATATATATATATATATATATATATATATATATATATATATATATATATATATATATATATATATATATATATATATATATATATATATATATACAAATATATATGCCAGTATTTAATAAATAGTAAATGCATAAATGCATAATAAAAAAAGTTATAATTTTTTATAACTTTTTTATAAAAAATATAAAAAAGTTATAAAAAATTATATATAATTTAATATATATATATATATATATATGTATATATATATATATATATATATATATATATATATATATATATATATATATATGTATATACATATATATATATTTGTTAAGCAACCACTATCAAGTTATGAGTTATTAAAAAACAAAGGATAAGGTTAAGGAAAAAGAAAAAGGTTAACTGAAGACTTAAATAGTTGTAGATTGTATGATCAGAAAAACATAAAGATGGGTGAGAGTTTTAAGGATTTGTTAATGCGAAAGGAAAAAAATTATATCATGGAGGGTAAGATACAGTAAAAGGATGTAACTTTGCTAAATAACAAGCCAAGCAAGAATGATAGCTCGTTTGAGCACCAACCACGAGAGTATTTGTTGAAAAACGTTTTGTTAGAGTTAAAATCTACAAACCACTGCATGCCCCATGCTGTTATAGAAAAGAGATCTGACTAAAGATTGTCTGCTTGTTTAAAGTGATTATAAAGTGAATACTTTTTGTCAAGAAGTATATAAAGTTGAGTTGTTAGCAAATAAAGCCATTTTAGATGTAAAATTGTAAGAAAAATTATTAGTTTAGATAAGAAACAATACAGAAGCAATTATAAAACCTTGCAGTACTCCTAAAGTTACTGGAAATAATGAATGGTGTAGAAATAATGAATGGTGTAGAAATAAAGAATGGTGTAGAAATAAAGAATAGTGTAGAAATAAAGAATAGTGTAGAAATAAAAAATAGTTTCTTCAAGACTTTAATGTGTTAGTGGTATAGTGGTAGAGCGCTTGCTGTGTGTTAGAAAGAAATGCTTTAACAATTTTAAAACTTTTATATAGAAACTAAACTAGAGAGAAGACTAATTGTAGGATAGTTGACCAAGGATAATTAGATAATTTTTTTTTTTCAATATTAATAAAATCTTGTTTTGAAGAGTTTTTAAATATTGAAACTAATTATTTAGCACTTAATAATTGTGTAGTGAGGATTGAAGAAAGTTCTGGAGAACACTTTTGTAAGACTATAATGGAAATTTTGTCTGAACCAAAAGTCGTAGAAGATTAGAATTGACTTTACCATTGGAAGTCAAAATGATTTGGAAAATGTGATGTAGAATAAGGTTTGACTTGAAACCAACAAAAAGGAATATAAGTTTATATAAAACTCTGGTGCACCTCAAGGTTCTATCCTTGTTCTTTATTTTGTTTCTTATCTATTCTTATAATACATTTTCCTGACAACCTTACATCTAAAGTTCTCTCTATTAGCTGATGATTCAACTTTATGTTTTGACAAAAAAAAATCTGATTGCTTAGAACAAGGAGCTAATCTTGAATCTGATCTCACTTCTGTAACAGATTTGGACTTGCAGTGGCTTGTGAATTTTATATCCAATAAAACTCATTATTTACTGCAAACAAATAAAACTCCAATAAAACCCATATCTCCAATACCATATATCCAATAAAACTTGTTATTTACTGCAAACAATTATTGCAATACTTTCCAATAATAATGAGTGGCACCCTCTCATTGAGTTCTCTTTTTGGATTTTGGTTTACTATAAACCTCTCATGGAAACCAAATATACAAGCAGTTGCTAAATCAGCATCTGCTAAGGCTGTTTACTTTATAGTGCTTGCTGTTTTTTTAGTACTGATTCCATTCTCTACTAATCTCTTATTAGTTTCTGTATGGAATACTGTTTTCATATTTGGGCTGGATCTTCTAATGTTGCTCTTTCTAAAACTCATTTTGGCTTGACTCTTTATTTAGCAAAGTATCTTTCTTTTCATGTATCTGTCCCTGCATGCTCTAAAAACTTTTATTTGTCTAGTTGTTTTTTTTTCCTCGCATTTTAACTCTTTAGAACACTCTCATATCTCTATGTTTTCTTGATTAAACCCTTAACTTATAAAAGTCTTTGTTAACTGTTTCTTTGCTCTTTACTCTATTCTTTGTTTTCAAGTAACTCCTAACTAAATAGTGGTTGCTTGCAGCCTTGTTGGTAGTAAATCATAATTAAAAAAATGTGTAGTATTTGCTTAATGAGAAGATGATGAAATATTTTGAAAGATGTTTTGAAAGCAACTTAATAATTTTCAGTTTTTATAATCTTTTATAATAAGTTCACCCAGTATCACCATTGATTGCCAGGTCAGAATTTTTTTCCTTTCTAAATGTCATATTTGAGATCCAGGTTATTATTATTTTGAAAAAATTTAAATGATATATGAGACCCAGTGGGTATCAATTGTGCTACTAGGAGACCTTTTTCAGAAGGTAAATGAAACCATTTTTGGTTTTTGGTTTGGTTTGAAATCAAATAAAATTTTTATTTGATTTCAAACCAAAGTTAATCTATTTTTTCATACAGAAAATTGGGTTTATCAAAAAGTCATAACCTTATAATATACATAAAAATGTTAGGCTTTCTTTATATGTGTGTATATTAAGTTTAATGTTTTTTATATACAAAGTGTGTAGCTTTATATAAATATTATACTTGATACTTAATTTTTATTATAGATTTTTCATTTTTAAACAATTACTTAACTTTATTTAACTTGTAAGAATTTTCTTTCAAGAGCTCCACATAAAGCCTTACTAACAAATGTGGATAATTCCGATATCATTTGTGAACACGGTCTTTCTTTATATCAAGCTGAAGAGCTTATAGATGAAGCTTGCAAAAGGTACATAAAATAATTTTTTTTGAGATATTTAACATATATTAAGTATGTCTGTGCATAAGTTGATATGTTAAAATGTGCAAAAGAAAATATATTTTATATTTAAAATACTAAGTGAAATAAAAAATTTTTGTTTGCATTGAAGCATTCAAAAAACAAAAAAAAATTTTATGGGAGGGTGTATATATCTTAAAGCCTTTAAAAAACAAGTTTTTTTTAATATAAAAATCAAAAAAAAAAATCTTTCTCAAAAGTCTAGATTTATTCTTTGTAAAACATTGTTTCATTATAGTAAAAAAATTGAAGCAAACAAATACATCAACTTCTGCACTAACACATGTTTTGATAGCTTTAGTAATTTTTGTTTATTATTTTTTATAGTGATCCACAAGTTTACATGATTTCTGCAAGCGAGCAAAATTTAATTATGAACTTTTTATCATTCTCACATCATATATCTGTCAGTGTTTCTCAGTTAGATAACTGTGACTCAAAAATATTTGCAGTTATGCCAGGTTTTTGTTTATTAAATTTCATGTTTTAATAGTTCATTATTTATTATTTGTAATTTTCATTAAAATATTTTTTTTTACTTTTTAGTTTAATACTTTTTAATTAATTTATGGCATAAAATTTTAAAGTTTTTTTCAACGCTTTATGAAAAACATGATAAACATGATGATATCTGTAGAGTTATTTACTTGTTCTTTAGAGTACCCCTTTTTTCTCTTTATTTCTTTTCTATAAAATATTTTCAATCTTTGTTTTTATAAAATAATTGTTTAATGTTTTCTTTGTAAAAAAAAAAAAATGCTTTTTGAAAATTATTTTATGATTTTCAATGAAACTTTATATTTTAGATTATTGTGTGGAATGTAGGAATATGCGTCTTTTTGAAAATTATTTTATGATTTTCTATGAAACTTTTTATTTCAGATTTTTGTATGGAATATAAGAATATGCATGAATAAATTTTTTTTTTTCAGATTGTGTGGAATGTAGGAATATGTGTGAAGAAATTTTTTTTATTTTAGTTTGTCTGGAAAGTAGGAATATGCGTCTTTTTGAAAATTATTTTATAATCTTGATGAAACTTTATTTCAGATTATTGTGTGGAATGTAGAAATATGCGTCTTGCTGAAGAAATTTTTGATTCTCAGCAGTATAAATCTGCGCATATTTATGTAACACGTCGAGTTGTTCCACAGGGTCAAATAAAAAATATCAAACCCAATTCAAAAATTGATTGCGACACGGAATGTAAAGTGATGATAAGCCCAATTGAAAAATCAGTTAATAATAAGGTTATTAATATTTTTGTTTATATAAAATCAGTTAATAATAAGGTTATTAATATTTTTGTTTATAAAAAATCAGTTATTAATAAGGTTATTGATTTTTTTGTTTATAAAAGATCAGTTAATAATAAGGTTATTGATTTTTTTGTTTATAAAAAATCAGTTAATAATAAGGTAGTAATATTTTTGTTCATAAAATACTTGTATATTTGTCGTATTTTGAAAATAAAATTATTAAACATAGACCAAAACAAAATCTATTTTCATGAAACTTTATTTAATCTATGCAACATAGTCTGATCTTTTCCAAAGAAATCAAAGGCAACAAATTCAGATTTTGATAACTTAAACTTCTTCACATTGAGTTTCCTTCAACCATTAGTTCACCCTTCAACCATTAGTTCACCCTTCAACCATTAGTTCACCCTTCAACCATTAGTTCACCCTTCAACCATTAGTTCACCCTTCTACCATTAGTTCACCCTTCAACCATTAGTTCATCCTTCAACCATTAGTTCATCCTTCAACCATTAGTTCATCCTTCAACCATTAGTTCACCCTTCAACCATCCTTCAACCATCTTTCAACATTCTTTTTCATTCTTAAAATTTGCTGATCTGAAGATATTTTTTTTTGCTCTTATTTTAAAAATTATTTTAAAAATTTAATCATTTGATAATTTACTTCTTGCATACTCTGTTATTTATATTTTTCTTTTATATAACTGCTTTTTTCATACTCAAAATATCATCAAACTCATTAAGTTTTAATTTTTACTTAACACTATTTTATTGATTCCACAACATGTTATACATAAAATTTTCTTTAGTTTTTTTTTCAAAAGTTTTTTTATCATATAAAAATTTTTATGAACAACATTTAAAATGATGATGTGAAATCTTTTTAATGTGTACCAAGCTAATAAATTCTACTCATAATTTGCCATATTGTGCTGTGTCTTTTCTGAGAAAGGTAGAAAAGCAGTGGAGTCATTTTGCAATCTCAACAAACCTTTTGACAATGAGGCAATCGGCAAGAGTTAAAAGTGAACGGTAGTTTAAGAATTTCAAGAAAAAAGGCACAATCTTTGCAGTGATCATTGAAGAGGTTAAAGCCCTAACAACACAAGTGCTAGCTCACGACTCTAATATTCCATTCCATGTTTGTTCATTGTCTCTAAAACTATCCTCTTCAAAAAGCTAGCAAACAAAATTAGCAAAAAAAAAATAGAGAAAAAGCATGTTTTTTTAATTTAAAGCTAACAAAATCAGTTTATTCCTTCTACCTAACGTTTTGTTCCAAAAAAGTGTTTTTAATTTTTTATTTTTTTTTGTTTTTATTTTTTTGGTTTTTTAATTACTTATTCTGTTTTAAATGTTTTGATTTTTTAGTTTTTAAAAAGAAGTTTAGAGAAAATTTCAAATGATGAAAATAGAAGAAGTGCACGGTATATATTTTTTAAACCAAAAGTTTAACGTTAAGTTAAAAAGAATATAAGTTGTAACAGTTGTAAATAAAAAAAAAAACTACCTGTAGTAAATTTTCCTTAAGCTCAGAAGTGGTTCTTGTGGTATCTGCTTTGATATCAATCTAATTACATAAAAATATAACTATTTAAAAAGCTCTTTGATGATAATAAATCTTAGAAAATAAAAATACAAAGCACTTGCTGTCTTCAGCTAGATGATAATTACATTCACAAAAAAACAGTGGTTTATATCACAGATAGTTTAAATAAATTATTTAAGCTCGCCAATATTGATATTGAATCACATTGTTGGGTGTCATATACATATAGGCACAATACTTGTTGATAAATTGTGAAACTATTTTTACAGTTGATAAAACAAAAATTGAAATTGAACATTAAAAAAAAAGTTTAAAAAAAACAAAAGTTTTTTAAAATTTTAGAAGACAGATCCAATTTGGAGAGCAAATGTTTCGAGTAGATTCAGACAACACATTGAAGCAATTAAAAATACAGGTTTTTAACTTAATTTTTTTTAGTGTGATAATAAGTATGCAATGTTTTTATTCTTTTTTTTTTTTTCCTCTCTTTTTTTTCTCTTGATTTGTATATATATATATATATATATATATATATATATATATATATATATATATTAGAGTGGGTCTTGATTTACGAATCAAATCAGCAATATGAGGATGTTAAACCGCCACTCTTGCAGAATTGCTTATACATATGTATATATATATATATACAAATAGTATTGCGTATTAAGGTAAACAATCTGATGTCATACTGAAAGAGCCTGCTGCTGGGGGCTTCAGTAGATTCATCGACTGACAAATAGCCTGACTTGCAGTGGAGTGCGGCTACATTAACTGAGGGTTTGGGATGGGGAAGCAATCGTTTTATTCATCATTCTTCGTTTTTTCTTCTTCTTTTTCGAAAAAAACGGTATAGCTTAAGGTAAGCAGAAAAAGTGAGCAAATGCTTATTAAAACACGCTTTAGTAAGTGTATATATATATATATATATATATATATTATATATATATATATATATATATATATATATATATATATATATATATATATATATATATCAAGCCTTCCCAGGAAGCGCATCCTGTTACACGCCTTATTTGCCCAGATTTAAAGTTTTTTTTTTAGACACACTGACCACAGCAGTTTGCATCTTTTACCATTTTAAAGCATTTTAATAATTCGTGGCAAAAAGCTAAACTTATCTACTAAGAACGAAAGGAAAAAAAACCTCAAAAAATGAAACAAAATTGTAAAAAAATATCAAATTTTAAATAAATAAACTAATAAAAATTATTAATTAAAAAATTTTTTTACACCTTTGTAGCTACTGAATTCGATACAATTTGAGAAAAAAACATATTTTATAACAATTTAACAACAATTGAAAGTTTTGATATGTAGTTTATTCACGATTTTTATTAGTTCGTGTAATTAAGAAACTAATTTGCTATGTACGTTAGAACCATGAGAAATTTTGTTTGTTTTTTTTCTTACATTTTCTTTTTAAATTGTTTTTGATATTTTTTTCTCATTACTTATTTAATAGAAAAACAAGGAAATAAATTGATATTTATTTGTAAAATATATTATTTGATTAATAAATTTTGTAATTAAATACAAGGATAGCATGGTTTTTTTTATAAATGTATTTTCCATATTTGTTGCCTGTCTAAAATTGTTTCCCTTATATTGTCTAATTTCCAACTTTAATACAAATTACTAAAGATAATAAACCTAACTGTTTTTTTGTTTTTTTTTGAAAAAATGTATTTAAAAACCTAAATAAAAACTTTTAAATAGACTTAAAATTTCATTAAAAATTCATCAAATTAACAATGCACTAGCCCAGAATCTTTTGGAACATCGTCAATAACAATAGTTCATCAGGAAATAAACTATGATAAAAATGCACAATTTGGAGAATCCATCCAAAGTGCTAACTGTTTCTGTGGGGTGTAGAGAAGCAACCATATATTTTATATTTGAATATTAGCATTAATGACATTATTTTTTTTACATTAAAAACTTGTTAACAAATTAAAAAAATTTTTTACTAATTAATACCAATTTGTTTTCTCACTTTTCTGTGCATTTATTAAAACAATAAAGGTAATATGTTTTTGTTTTTGTTATATTCTTATCTGCTTTTTTCCTCAACTTGTATCAATTTTGGTAATGGAATATAATAAACGCCCTAAAAAACAGAAAACAAAAACAGTAAAGTATTTAGTTATATTTTTTTCACAAAATTTTTTCTATTTTTAATTTTTAATTTTGTTAGTTTATTTTATTTATATTTTATATTTCATATAGTATTCATCTCATTTATTGTTTTATTCTCTGTAGTTTCTTATAGCTATATTAGCCACATATTCTTAAAATGTTATCTATATAAAAATGTGGTCAAGTTGTCAAAAAATTTGCTTTAAATAAGGACAAACAAGGGGTACTACCGGACATACTTCTAGGATTGTGTATATACATATATATATATATATATATATATATATATATATATATATATATATATATATATATATATATTCTATTATATTCTATTATATATTATAAACATATTATATTTTATACTATATATATATATGTGTATATATATATATATATATATATATATATATTCTATTATATTCTATTATATTCTATTATATATTATATACATATTATATTTTATACTATATATATATATATATATATATATATATATATATATATATTCTATTTCTATTTTACTTCACCTCCTCAAGGCCAAGAAGGCCACTACAGACAAGAAGGCTACTTATTTTGTGGCTATAACCCTCTCTCAACTCTATAACTCCGAAACACGAACCTTGACGAACAAGGCCGCTGCGCGGAGAAACGAGTTGAGCGCGGTACTACCAGGGACGTGGTGGGGATCGAACTCGGAACCACTCGTTTATGAAGCGAGCGCTCTACCACTACCGCATTTAAATATATATATATATATATATATATAAATATATATATATATATATATATATATATATATATATATATATATATATATATATATATATATATATATATATATATATATATATATATATATATATATATATATATTATATATATATATATATATATATATGTATATACACTACTACTACTACTACTAATAATAATAATAATAATAATAATAATAATAATAATAATAATAATAATAATAATAATAACAATAGTAATAATAATAATAATTATTATTATTATTATTGTTTTAACAATAATACTAGGAAATTCTCCTTCATTCTTAAAAAAACATTTTACAAAAATGTATTTGTTTGGTTTGAAGTAGATTTGTGTTAATAAACAAAGTTTTTTAAAAAAATGTATTATTTCCTTTTTAGTTGATGCATCGCTTTTCTGTTCTACCTATGGATCAAACAGTTATGTTAGCAGATGGTACATTATTGGATGATGATAGTAAAAGCTTACTTGAATTGGGTATAAAAGTAGGCTCTCATTTAGTTTTGGAAGTAAGTAGTTTTAAGATTTTGCTGGAGATTTTTTGTTGCACAAAAGTAATCAGTTTCAATAATAATAAATCAAGTCCTATATATTGAGAGAGTTTCATAATTATTTTTTACTACATTATTTTTTTTACTACAATGTTTGCTTTTCTTTTGTTTTGAACTCTCCTTAACAAGGAATGCTAACATATTTACTTAAATGATAAAATGTTATAAATCTGAAACATTGTTGGCAATATTTGTCTAATTCATGAATAGACAAATAGACTGTTGTCTATTTGTCTAATTCACGTCAATAATGAATTAGACAAATAGACTGTTGTCTATTTGTCTAATTCACTATTGTAAACTTTTTTAGTTTTTTAGTTTTTATATATCATTGTTTAAAAAAGCAATAATTATCAAAAACACTCATGATCAAAGAATTCTTCTTTATTTACTTTTTAGCTCTAGCTTGTTTAAAAAAAATTTAAGCGTGTACATGAATCTGGTGGAAGAAAGGAGGAATGGAAGTAAGGAGGAATGGAAGAAAGTTGTCAAGATATAAAACTGGATAAAAAACTTATTAAAAGTTTTTAGATTAACCCAAACCTCTCACTAAGAGAACAGGCAAAAAGTATGTAACTTCTCATTGCTTCGTTGTAAAAGTTTGAAATAAACATGGTCTTCATTCTTTCATATCATAAAAAGTGCCCTACTATTCTAAAATTCAAAAAAAAAAATTTAAAAGAACTGCTGGAAAATATTGTATACTAATTTTGTTTCTAAAAATGTCTGTAATATTGAAGATGAAACTTATGTCAAGTAAGGTCTTCAGCAAATTCCTGGTGCTGTCTGTTATATTACCAAATATAGAGAAAAAGAAGATAAAAAACTCTAATACACCAAACATAATAAATTTGCTAAAAAAGCCTTGATTTGGCAAGGTATTTGCATTTGTGGCAAAAAATCAGCACACAAAGTATTTCTAGTTAAATTTTTGTTAAAGTGTGTTTACAAATATCTCATTTACCTCTCATTAAATCATATGATAGTAGACATGTTTTGGCCTGTTTTATCATCAAGTCATTACAGTAAACTGGCTATGGAATTATGAAAATATGAAATTACAGTAAACTGGCTATGGAATGATACGAACAAAATAATGTGAAAGTTATGTCTAAAACAGCAAGTTTTAGACATAACTTTCACATGTCCAAAATTGAGAGTTTTTAAAAAGTACTGGACAACTGTTTAATGAGAAATGAACAAAAAAAACTATGCAGAAATGTTAAAGATTTGAAAATATTATTTAAAAAAAACTTTAAATATTTCGAATGTTGTTTAGTCTGCAAGCTAATTGGTACCACTAAAGTTGAAATTTTATTAGATGTCCACAGGAATAATTTAATTTGTTTGAAATATTTAATCTTCTTATACTAATCTATCAAAATTATTACTGATTATTAACAAAATTAGTTCTGATGATTATTACTTAGTTCTGATGATTATTACTTAGTTCTGATGATTATTACTTCGTTTTGATGATTATTACTTATCTCTGATTAGGGCATAGTTGGATCCAAGATCCGGATCTGAATACCCAGGTACCCGTGTCCTAAATTTAAGATTCGGACCCGGATCTATTTTGTTTGGGTATTCGGTTCCCAAGTATTTTTACAAAATATTACTTTTTATAATATTGTTAAATCCAAAAAATACCTTCAAGTTCAGTTTCTATTAGAAATATTTTACTGGCTCATGCCAAAGACATTAAGACTCAATTGGCGTCAGAATTAAAAGAAATGAAAGCTAACAATATGAGATTTAGCTTAACTGTTGATGTATACACTTCAATTAAAATGCGTTGTTATATGAATATTAATGTGCATGCAAATGGAAGCTGGGAATGTACTTTATGTAAAACCAGCAGAAATTTTAGGCCAGAACGATATTATTGATGATGATAATAATAATAATGGTAGTGAAGATGACAGTGAAGAGCTTAATCAAAGTGAAGATCTAGGCTACATTGAATTTGAAAATAGTTCACAAGAACCTGTTGTTGTCAAAAATTATTTTTCAATTTAAAAAAAAGTTCGCACAATAATAAAATTGTTTACAAAATCACCTGTAAAAAATTATATGTTGCAGAAGCATGTAAAATCAGAATTCGGACATTATTCAAACTTAAATAATTCATTAATTTAATTAAAATTAAATTAAATTAAAATTAAAAAAAATAAGAACTTAAATAATTAATTCGAACTTAAACTTATTTTAGACTGCAAGACACGTTGGATTTCATTATTTGATATGATTGATTGTTTTGTCAAGTTAAGCAAATGCTTTAAAATGGCTGTTATCGAAGTGCAATAACAATATCGGATTCAGAGCTGCAAATTCTTAAAGATTTAGCTAAGGCTTTAAAACCTGTAAAATTAGGAGCCAAAGCACTTTGCTGTCGAGACTCAAGTTTGCTTTCTGCAGAAAAAATCTTTAGTTTTAAATCAACTACAATCATATGATTCTGACATAAGCAAGGACTTATATGAAGCATTAAAAACAAGAATTTTAAGCATAAGAAATCCTAATTTAATTCACCTTATGGAATATTTGAACAAACCTAGTTTTTTATTATCTGGTACTTTAGATGCTTTTGGAGTAAAGCCTAAAAAAAAGCAGTTATATTTTTAGCTAAAGATTTTTTACTAAGACTTTTACCTCAAACAGTTGAAGAAGAATGTACAGAAGATAGTGAAGTTGATTTTGAAAACACAGTAGAAGAAAATTTTGATATCAAAATACAGTTAGAAAAAGTTGGGAGTAGCTTAAATGATAATACTATCGATACCTTATGCTTCTTAAAAAGTTACTATAAAAATAATAGAATTGATAAAAATTGAAACTAAAATTGCTAATATGAAAAGCTACAAAGGATTTATTTCACACAATTCTTAAAATTAATAAAATCTCTTTGTGTAAAATAGTTTTTTGTTTTGTTTTTATGATAAAGTTGGATCCGGATTTGGATCCGGATCCAAATCTCGAATATCCGGGTAGGATCCGGAACCAGATCCTGATTGTTTTGCCAGATCTGATATGCCCTAGCTCTGATGATTATTACTTAGTTCTGATGGTTATTACTTAGTTCTGATGATTATTACTTAGTTCTGATGATTTTTACTTAGTTCTGATGAATATTACTTAGTTCTGATGATTGTTACTTAGTTCTGATGATTGTTACTCAGTTCTGATGATTATTACTTAGTTCTGATGATTGTTACTTAGTTCTGATGATTGTTACTTAGTTCTGATGATTATTACTTAGTTCTGATGATTGTTACTTAGTTCTGATGATTATTACTTAGTTCTGATGATTATTACTTAGTTCTGATGATTATTACTTAGTTCTGATGATTATTACTTAGTTCTGATGATTGTTACTTAGTTCTGATGATTGTTACTTAGTTCTGATGATTATTACTTAGTTCTGATGATTATTACTTAGTTCTGATGAATATTACTTAGTTCTGATGATTATTACTTAGTTCTGATGATTGTTACTTAGTTCTGATGATTGTTACTTAGTTCTGATGATTGTTACTTAGTTCTGATGATTGTTACTTGGTTCTGATGATTGTTACTTAGTTCTGATGATTATTACTTAGTTCTGATGATTGTTACTTAGTTCTGATGATTGTTACTTAGTTCTGATGATTATTACTTAGTTCTGATGATTATTACTTAGTTCTGATGATTATTACTTAGTTCTGATGATTGTTACTTAGTTCTGATGATTGTTACTTAGTTCTGATGATTGTTACTTAGTTCTGATGATTATTACTTAGTTCTGATGATTGTTACTTAGTTCTGACGATTGTTACTTAGTTCTGATGATTGTTACTTAGTTCTGATGATTGTTACTTAGTTCTGATGATTGTTACTTAGTTCTGAATAAAAAATGATGAGTACTTTTCTTTAGTAGTTTTTTAACTTACAGACACAAGGTGAATATAAATTTAAAGCTATATTTTGTTGCTAGCTTATAAAAGAATAAATAAAATTTCTTTTTTAATTTAAATTTAGAACTTTTTTCTAATGACTTTAGTTAACGATAGTCAAAGAATGGTTGTATTGCAGTAGAATGGTTGTACAAACCAATTATTTATTTTTATATTCTATCAGTTATTAAATTTTACACTCTACATCAAAATGTATTTTTTAAGAAAACTTTTTTTAAAAATTTGTTAAGAAAATTTTATTTTATTATTTCTTATCTATTATTTTATTTATTAATTATTTTTTAAGGATATTTCAAAACATTTACTAAATCAAGCTAAAACCTAGTAATAATTTGCTGAAAGTTCCAATCTAGTGCTTCTCTCCTCTCCCTTAATTTTTAAATCTCCTCTCTCTTCCTTGGAGAGGAGAACATGTTTAAAAATAATACTAACATAGATATCGGTATAATAAGCAATATAGGTTAATTTCATATAAAGTCACCCAAAAAAAACATTTTCGACACCCTTACATCTCAGAATTTGTTCATTTTTACCTCACTTGCAGTCCATATTTAAAAAAAAAATAACTGCAAAAATACACATGGGTTCCAGAGATATTGTCAGTTAAAATATTGCTGACACAGCATTTTAGTGATAATAAAGCAACCCCCCCCCCCCCTATCTCACTGGATTTTTTTTTTTTTTTTTTTTTAATGCATTAAATGATATAATAATAAATAATTAAAATTTAATTTAAAAATTAATATTTTTTTTACTTAAAGTTTGAAAAACAATTTTTTTTCATTATTTTAATTCAAATCAGTGAATGCTTACCTCTTATTATATCAAAAACAAGCAAATGTTTTGTTTTGTTCTTTTTAAAGGTTATACTTGTTTGTATTTTCTTAAAGAATGATTGTGAATTTTTTTGTTTTTGTATTTTTCAGGTAATATTATAGATAATAAACATATTTTATATGGAGAAATGTGACATTGGAAAAAGTCTGAACATTCATTGCCACAAAACTGGATTTTCGAGAAAAAAAAGGTTTTGTTTAATTCAAAGATCTTTCTTGTGAAAAACAAGAAGAAATATGCCAAGCAAATTTAAATGAAAAATATTGTTCAAGAAAAATTATATGTTGTTATCATGAGCAATTCTATGGAAAATATTTTGAGAGAAAAATTGCAAAGTGTTGCAATCCTTTTGGAACACACAAGGAAAGTAAAAAAATTGCTATAAAAGTAATCTAACATTAATTACAACAGAATTGATATGGAAATTAAAAGAAAAACATTTTATTATTTATAAAAATTTTTATATTTTCAGTTATTTTAAAAACTTAAAATTAAATTTGTTTCTTAGGTAATATAAAGATTTCTATAGACTTTTGTAACAAAATAATGTTTATGTAACCTCAGGTTGGAAATTCTGCAGTAAATGTTACAAAAAAACAGTAGGAACAGATGGAGATTCAAATTCACAGGAGCAATCGGAATCAAAAAGTTTGAAAAAAATTAAGTTAGATACCACTATAGAATTGCTTGGAATTTCACCAGTCAAAATAAAAAGTCTTTCAAAACACAGCAAATTGCCTGCAGCTAAACAAAAGTTTGAGAACTTGTTGACAGAGTTGCAAAAATGGTCTCATTAGCATATAGCATTAAAGAAACTTATTTAACAACAGAAATAAAAAGCACCATTTCAAACAACAACATTAACAATGACCATGATCTAGACATTTTAATGTATGAAATAAAATAAAAATTTTCAGAGACTGACTCTTAAGGTACAAATGTGTGAACACTAGCACCAAAATCGTGGACACTTGCAAAGATATCAAGTCACTTTGAAGTGTCTGAGTATCTTGTTCAAACTGCAAGAAAAGTTAAAAATAAGTATGGAATTCTATCATTGCCCAAAAAAAACACTGGAAAACCCACTTTCACTAGAAACAGTTAATTTAGTGATTAACTTTTATCAAAGTGATGAATTTTCAAGAATGATGCCAGGAAAAAAAGATTTTGTAAGTGTTAAAGAAAACTAACATGTTCAAAAAAAATTATTGCTACTCAGTCTAAGTGAATTACATGTTGCATTTAAAAAAGACTACCTAATGTCAAAGTTTTGTACTCTTAAACTTAAATGGTGTATTACAACTAATGTGTCAGGTACTCATAATGTATGTGTTTACATACATCACCAAAATACAAAGTTTCTCATTGATGCCATTAGGTGGAATAAAAATTATAAAGATTTCATGGTATTAATCACTTGTTCGCTTGAAAATGCAGAATGCATGTTGGATTGATGTAAACAATGCCCTGGTATTGAAGGATTAAAAAGTTTTTTAGTGCAGGAGTTTATGGACCATGAGCTCAAAGAAGATGTAACATTTAAGCAGAGGCAGAGTACCAATCATGCAACACTACAATTATTACAATTATTACACTATTACAATCATTGCCACTAGATGAATTTAATGATTTGTTATGTGACAGCATTGACAAACTTACCACTCATTCATATATTGCAAAAACACTAAGTAGATACTTAAAAAACTGTAAAAAAAATCTTAACCAAAACAAATGATTAATTTTAGGAGATTTTGCTGAAAATTATCAATATGTTGTTCAGGATGAGGTTCAAAGTTATCACTGGAGTATAAGTCAATGTTCACTTTTTACAATGTACTTTATTTTATAGAGAAAAAAGTTCTCAAACACAAATCTTATTGTTACCTTTTAGAAGATGTTAATCATGACACAGGATTTATTTACAAGACTCAGGAAGATATAACTAGATATATAGATATATATAGACCTAAGATAAAATAATGATATACAAATAAACTTTTTTTTGGGATTTTGAACCCCAGTCTACCTCCAAAAATCATGAATTTACGGGTCAATAATTTTGAACAAAATTGGATAAATGAGGCATTTCCTAAGACAATCGAATCTTGAGAGTGCTCTTTTTGGATTCTGCAAGTAAAAATTTATTGGGGTACCAAATTTTGGGAAATTTCCCCAAGCTATTATGAAGATACTATAAAAGTTGCTTTGATATGTCAAAGTTGCTTTGTAGTCACTTTAGATAATCACTAAAATAATCCCACTTTTACAGTGTTTTAACTAAAATTTTTGCAGTTATTATTTTTTTAATATGGACTGCAAGTGAGGTAAAATTGAACAAGTCCTGAGACATAAGGGTGTCATGGTCTGGATGATTTCATATGGAATGAAATATTTTTCAAAAAAATATTTGCCATTTTTGAAATGACATTTTTTGACATTGTAAAATTTAAGTATATTTGGATAGGTTTTTTGTTTGCATCATTAACATATGTTTTTCTTTGGATCTTCCAACATTTTTTTTTATATCTTCTTTATTGTTCCTAATACTAATAAATCTGAAAAATCCTCCTGTTGTAGGTTTTATATTTGTTATCAACAACAAAAATTTCTTTTAATAAAAATTTAACTTTTATTCGTCTAGTTTTTTTAAACTCTTTGGAACTCTCTCCCATCTTCAAGTTCCATAGGTATTCACCTATAAAACTAAATTAAAAAAAATTAAAAAAGAATCAGAAATTCAGCTTACCATTTCCTTTTTTCTAAATGAAGCCTTGCTCTTTGCAGGCTCATTTTGAAATAAATTTTTTTCTCTTACATTTTTTATATTAGAATTTAGTTTTATAAATCAATATTCTGATAAATATTTTTTATATCAGCATTAGACATTTAAACTTTTATGAATAATAATTATGTTGTAATAATAATACAATATATGCTGACAGTTTTGAAAATTTTACAAAATAATTCTAAAGCAATACTGATTTAAAGGTCCGGTTCATTCACAAAAAGTCTTACCTGTTTACATTTATTTGGTAGCCTTTTTATTTAGGTGCATGTCTATGACTGTGTATGTATGTATGTATGTATGTGTATGTATATATAAAGTAGTTCATTACTTTATTATATAGATAATAAATATTTTAGTTCCTTATAAAAATTAAATATATATAGTCTGTTTTATTCAGTTTATAAAAAACTAATGAGTAATATTATGATAAAATTTTAAAATGGCCTAACAATTTGATACTTAAAAATCACCTTAAAAGGTTAAGTCATATAAATTGTAAAACCTCCTCTTTGTTTTAGAACCTCCTCTTTGTTTGAGAACCTCCTCTTTGTTTTTAAATATTTTACAGATATAGAAAATGGGTAAAATTATAAAAAAAGATGCAGTCTTAAATTTGTTTACAACTTTTTCTATTTTATGTCAATCTACTTCAAACAATGGTTTAAAAATACCTAAAGTAAAAATAACTTCAAATTATAATTTTTGAAAAAGAAACTGATAAATTTTTTTTCACAAATATCTAAAAATTTTGATACGCCCTATGATTTCTGATCTTGCAAAGTTTTATGATTTGTACAACCTTGCAAAATCTTTATTTTCTATTTTTCGTATGCCAGAGGGATGTAAGTTCATTTTTAGATTGATGCTTCTACATTCACTGATGATCTAAGTTTATTTAATTTCTTTTTTATAAGAAGCAGTGCATTTTGATATTATTTAGGCAGTAAAAACATAATTCCCATAAGCTTCTTTTTTCTTCAGGTCAAAATCATTTTTTACAATAAACTTTGACAAAACTTTATGATTTAGTATTTAGTTGAGTTCATGGCACCTCTAATAAAAGTATTGTAAATATATCATATACATTTAAATTTTTTTAATAAAATTATACATGAAATATTTATTTTTTAGGTGCAAAAAATTGACCCTGAAAATGATATTACACATGAGCCAGGTATTTCGTTGTTTTATTAATAGTTGTATAGAAAAATATCTTTATATAAACAGAGAAACAATGTAATTCTGATTAAAAAAAACAAAATGCTACTGTATGTAGTTATTATATGTTATTATATAGTTATGTTAAAAACACTATAAATGTTTGTTTTACATACACAAAAACATATATAGTTACAATAAAAAAAACTTTAATCCGTTATACTATTACCTATGCTGATTTACTTTTTTTAAAGTCTTGATACTGTAGCGTGGGGTAATCCAGCATAATTTACTTTTTTTTAAATCTTGATACCGTAGTGGGGTAATCACTACATGGAGTAATCGCGCACCCGTTAACATATTTATTTTAAAAGACAAATAAAACATTTAGTATTAATGATTAGTTCGTTTTCAAGTTCAAAATACATAAAGTAACTTAAGGATAATATAAGTTGTTAATTACAGCTCTTTTGGAAGAAAATAAATAACCGATAACAAGTTAACTATATCACAGTGTAGATTCATAGAATTCCGTAAAAACTATCAACTAGAAACACTAAGGGTAAGCATTTGTAGTTAAAACATTTCTTAGAATTTTGAATTTTTCTCTAGTATACCTTACATATATTGTAAACTCGTACAAGTTTTCAAGTCTTATAAATGAATTGTTCATAAAATATAGTTGTTAAAGTAAGGTGGGGTAATTGAGCACTTTTATATGGGGTAAATGAGCACCTTTTGAATCTACTGGTTTTTATTCTTATAATATTTTTGATAATAAAACTAATATTTAAAAATTTAAATAATTAGAGTTTTATAACAGAATTCAAATAATTTGAGTTTATAACTTTGTGGATATGGTGAGAAATTATTTAAAATCAACTCAAAAACAGTCCAAAACTTTCTCAGATAGTGAACTTAAAAGAGCTATCGAACTTGTTAATGATGGAGAACCTTGTAAATGTGTGGCAAAGCTGCTAAACATACAACACAGAACTTTAAGGTGTCATATTAGTGGTTTACGCAAAAGTAGTGTGGTTGGTCGAAAGAGTTCATTGCTACCAGATGAGGAGATGTCAATTGCAGAATATATTGCATCTTTTAGTGATTTTGGGTATGCGTTTAATAAAATAGACCTCAAATTATTTGTACAAAGTTTTCTTAACAAATCTGGAAGAGACTGCCCGTGTTTTAAAGAAGCCTGGTGATGATTAAGTAAGATCATTTTTAGAGCGGCATGAAAGTCTTTTGTCTTTTCAAGCATGTCAAAATATTTGTAGAAAGTGTGCTGCAATTTTAAGTGACTCTGTAAATAGATTTTTTAACAACCTAGAAGATACAATAAAAAATGTTCTACCTCAAAACATAAAAACTATGATGAAACTAATCTTTCTGATGACCCAAAATCAAAACAAATTCCGGAAAGGTACTAATCATGCTGAAAGAGTTATAAATACATCAGAGACATCAGTTTCTATAATGTTTGCATGTACTGCTGATGGTGTTTTTCTTCCTCCATATACAGTGTATAAAGCTGAGTGTCTGATGGACACTTGATAATATCTTACTTCAGACATGTTGACAACAACACATTAAAACTTCTTATAGGTGATAATTTAGCATGTCATTTATCTATTGATGTTATCAAAATTTGTGAAGCTAACAACATTAAGATGGTCTTCTTACCTCCTAATAGTACACATTTACTACAGCCTTTTGACCTTGCAGTTTATGGACCCATGAAATGGGTCAGAATGGAGAAAGGTAATTATTGAATCAGCATGGAGAAAGGTAATTACTGAATGAAAAGTTGGTAAAGGAAGCTTTCATACATCCCTACCAAAAATGTTTTCTCAAGATTGCTCCTTAATCTCTTGACTAATATGAATCACATACAAGAGCTTGCTGTAAATGTGTTCAAAACATCTGGTATCTACCCACTAAACAAAAAAAAAATTATTGACAAGATTTTAAGGACAGACATATCTAGATTTTCTCAGAACTTAGTATCCCCATTAGTATCCCCATCTTTCTATCCACCACCTTTTTTAGAACTTAGTAACCCCATTAGTATCCCCATCTTGAACGTCTTGCAGAACTTTGAGAAGCTTCTGCTAAAAAGCTTGGGGCAGTAATGCGTGGGAAAAAAGTTAATTTTTCACCAGAAAAAAGCGTTTCACTGGAAGATGTTGCAACAGATTCTTCTGCTTCTAAATCCCAATCAAAACACAAGCTAATCAAAATAAAAAATAACCAACTTAATGTATCCTTAAATATAGAAAGAAATTCTAAATTAAATTTGAATACTTTTAAAGAAATTATTGAATATGATATGCCTTCAAGCTCCAAGATGTATATTGAGCTACAAGAACTTTCTGATAAAAAATTTGATTGTATACAGAAAGAAAAAAGTAAAACTTTAAAAAAAAAGATTTTTTTAATTGAAAAAAGTGATTCATACAATGATGATTATGACCTTGAAGATTCACTTTTCCATCAAAAACAAGACCGGTGCAAAATAACTTTAACAGCTACTCAAATGAAAACACTTATAAATTAGATTCTATTTGCTCTAAAGGAATATGTGATCCTGAGGAAGTTGCAACCTCTGAATATTTATTAGCAGAGGGTTCCTATGTTGATTACAGTTTGAAGGAAAAAAGACACCATATCATTTTGTAGGTCAAGTTGTAAATATAGAAAAAGATAACAATTAGAATATCAAGTACTTTAGACGAGAATTAGATGCTCCAAACCTAAGAATCATCTCTTACAAAGAACCACAAGTTCCTGATTACTTTGTTACCGAAAGAAAATCATAAAACAGCTTCCTTGTCCCCTATATGAAAAAAACAACATATCTTTTTTGAAAGAAACTATTAGTGACTTAAATATGCGTTAATATTATATTAGTGTGTTTTTCATATATTTATATGTTTTTTTATATAACTGTTATCTTAGTTCAAATGAATTATATATTTGGCAAGGGTTTTTCGTTTGTTTATTTTATATATATATATATATATATATATATATATATATATATATATATATATATATATATATATATATATATATATATATATATATATGCATGTATGTATGGATGGATGTATGTATGTATGTATATGTTAATCAAGTTAAAAAATAATAAGATTTAAAATTTTAGTAGACATCCAATTTTTGGGGATCTTTGGGACCCAGGCCACGGCCTAGTATGGCCTATTGGTAATTTGATTTACGGTTTTATTTGGTATTAGCCTATTGGTTAATTCAGCTCTGTATATATATTTACCAAATATGTATGTGTGTGTATATTTATCAAATAAGTATGTGTGTGTGCGTTGTTTTTTATATGATTTCATTATTCCTGGTATAATTATATATATATATATATATATATATATATATATATATATATATATATATATATATATATATATATATATATATATATATATATATATATATATATATATATATATATATATATATATATATATATATATATATATATATATATATATATATATATATATATATATAATATGTATATAAATTCAATCATTTTATAAAAAAAATAAGGTGCTTGTTTACCCTAAATCGTGGGGTAAATGCGCATCTGTATATTTTGTAACATAAATTCTTCGCTTTTTATTTTTTCTTAAATCCAACATTCCTTTAGGGAAGATTTAGTGTAGTACTAAAAAAACATATCTCACTTTTTAAAATTATCTACAATTTTTTTTTTTTTTTGAAAAAAGCTATAAAAAAGGTGCTTAATTACCCCACGCTACGGTATAATTTGTTTTTTTGTTTTGTTCTTTTTCATTGTTAAAAATTAGAATTAATTCGAAACTAAAATTCCTGTAGTTTGATCTTTGCCGTATCGATTATACATCGATGTATATTAAATAGATGTGCACTATGTATTTTTAACAAAAATATTTATAATTATATTTTCATTTCAATTTTTTTTTTCCAGAAATATTTCATACAAACGTTGTTTTTTTAGATGATTTCATTATTCCTGGTATAATCCAGGGATTTATGTTTTTTAGATAACACGTGTGCAATTTAGAGAATTTTTATACTTAGAAAAAAGTGAAATTTTCCAAATTGACTTTAATTTAAACATTTCTTTTTCTTTTCTTTTTTTTTTTTGTAGTAAAATCTCGAGCTTTAGAAGAAGGTTTCAAAGGTATTTCAAATATTGTTACATTAAATTAAAATTTATTAAGTTATATTTTTTTGTGCTTGTGTTAAAACAATTATTTACTCTTATGTTAACTGAGGCGTACGTTTGATCATCAATTGGTTTTGCTACTTTGAAGAAAAAAAATTTTACACTAATTGTTGTATTAAAAATTTGAACTAAATGGGTTGAGCAAATAATTAGGGCACAAAATTATAAATTATAAATAACGTTTGTCTGAGTGGTAAATCTTACTGACTGTTAGACTTTGTTTATACACCCATTACACCCCTCATAGTGTTATGTTTAATTTGTTTATTACGTAGTACTTGAATATTTACAATATGTAAGACTTTGTTTCATCTGTTTTTTAAATTACTTTTTTTTTTTTTTTTTTTTTTCTTTGCATTTACATTTTTATCAAATGTTATTTAAGAGTAATTATATGATAATAATGATTCTTTGTTTTTACCCAGGTACAAGTTTGCTCAGTGGTTTGTAATACCGTTTAGTGTTTCATCAGTGGACGAAGTTACTATTTATTCACAAATAAAAAAAGTTTGCTTGCTAAAACGTTTTGTTGTTTTTTTTTTCCGTTATAATATTCATAAGTTAAGATATTATTTTTATGCACTAGTTTTTTTTTTTCTGTAGTAAAAGATTATGTAGCGAATCTTTGCTACAGATTTTATTTTGTTCTCAATATTAAAAAGATTGTTTTTGTATTGGACAATAAAAAGTCAATTAAACCCTTTTTAAATTTTTAAAAAGATTATATTTAAACAAACCCTGTTCTTTTGCAGAACAGATAAACAAACCCTGTTCTTTTGCAAATAGATAAACAAACCCTGTTCTTTTGCAGAACAGGGTTTGTTTATCATCAAGTTGGTCTAATAGACGATTTTAAAAATCGTTTTACATTTCTAAAATAATCAAATTCAGATTATGAAGAAAGTTTTTAACATTATATGAAAGATTGCATGATATTTTCTGGTTGACTGGTATATTGGAAAAAAAAATTGGTATACGAGTGGTTACATTAATGAGAAGCTACTACCTTTTTTTAGCCATTAGTCCCTCATTAATAAAGTAAAATCGTTCAAATTTAAGTAAACAGGTTTTTTTCTTCTTGATAAACTCTTTTAACAGTTTAATGTTAAACCCAGTGGAAACAATCTAGTTCAAAATTTAAAGTAGCGTCAAAAATTTGCTTCGTATTCCATTTGTATTAGGTGCTGGGGTTGTAGAACAACAAATGCAATATTTAGAAATAATTGTTATTGCGGCAAAAAATACAATATTGGAAGGTGATTGTTCACGTGCTGTACAACAAACGCATTACGCCTTTGCGTAGTCGTATTTTAAATATTGAAGACGTCCAAGTTGAATATAGCATCGATTTTTAATATTTAACTTTCATATTTTTTTGTAAATAAATTATTTATATTTTATTTATTATTCATCTGAATAACTGTAAACACCCGATGGGATTTTACCAATACCTCATCGTAAAATGTTTTTTTCATGAATTTTTTTTTATTGATAGTACTTTATTATTTATTGAAAACCAATCCATTTGGTCTGCCTAGTCAAAGACGAATCTAAGGCTACAAAGTAACAAAGTAAATTAAGGCTACACAAAATCGAAAATATAAAGAACTTTGTTTTAAATCTCTCTTAATTATAACTCAATTACAATGTTACATGTTCTTACGCTTTAATTTATACAACTTTCGTGGTCTCAATTACATCTTGAAAAGATTATAAAAGATTGGAAAGAACCCATACAATGAAAAAATTTCTAGCAGTAGCCAAAAGGCTACTACTATAAATTTTTAGTAGTAGCCTTTTGGCTAATTTTAATAGCCAGGTTTCTCATTTAAATGTGTACAGTAAAAAACGTTTGTCAAAATGCAATTAACAAAGCTTTGCCTTCTTTGAAGTAAATCTAGAGACTAACCCAGCGCTTGTTAGAGGTATTAACGTTAATAGGGAGGTATTAGTGGAGGTATGAACGTTAATAGGGAAGTATTGTTGGTGGTATTAACGTTAATAGAGCTGCAATTGTTGTTGAAATTGAAGAATCAAGGTTTTTCTATCGAAAATATCATTGCATACAATTGTAAATAGATCATTGGGTAAATGGTAGTATTAAAAGGATTTTGCAAAAGTGTTTTTCGGAAGAAATTCCAAATCGATATGCAGGTAGAATTCATACTACAAGTTATTTTACAAGTCATTTATCGTTTCAGATAAATGAGCATTTAATGCTGGAATGGAAGTTCTACACAATAGAATCTATTCCCGTCTATTTTTCATCCATAAACGTAACTTTGTTAATCCAACTCAAACGAAACTCATACTCAAAACATTAAAAATTTCTGGGTGCGTATAAATCATTGAAAAATTTGTGGGTGCGTATAAAACATTGAAAAGTTTGTGGGTGCTTATAAAACATTGAAAATTTCTGCGTATAAAGAATTATACGCTGAATTATATTGCATTATCTAGAGTACAACACGTGGCAAAATTTTTTAATTGTTTTGTAATTTAACATAATTGCTTTTATTTCATAATCAGACTTTTGTAAAATAGTTAAGTTATTCCAAGGACGTAAAATAAGACCATAATTAGTCTTATTTTACGTCCTTGGATATTCGTTACAAATTGAGTAAAAATCCATTATCATTATCTTTCACTATTTTGTAGAGCCGACGGAAAGAATTTTTTATGTTTTAGATACGAAACATTCAGATAATGTAAAAACTCTAAACTTAAGTATGTTTGTGTTTAAATTAAATAAAAATGTTTTACAAAAATTTGCTTTGAAATTTTTGCCTGCATTGAAAAATTGCCTGAAAACACTCCAAAATGCTGCCTCAAATAAAAGAGTAAAGAGTCGAATCTTTTTTTTTTTACTCTTTCTTATAATACCATTTAGAAAACAATGGTTATTCTATAAACGAGTATTCGTTAAACGATTACGAATATTCGTTTGTTTTCATTTTAATCCTTGAACGATTACTGAACGAATAATAATAGTTCTTTCAACAAATAGAAATTTTTTCGTTATTCGTTAAACAAATATACTTGTTCCCGCTTATTTGTTGAATGAATAAATAATTGTTCAGCGCAGTGCTGGATCAAAAGGGGGGGGGGGGGCTATAGCCCTGGACCCCGCAAATTTAGGGACCCCTCAAATTTTACAGGACCTTTTTTTTTTTTAGTCATTTTTAGGCTCTGGCCCATAAAAAGGCCTCCAAAAATAAAAATAGCCCTGAGCCCAAAGAAGTCTTAATCCGCCACTGGTTCAGCGAATTAGCGATAGCAAATATATTCTTAAAAAAATATATATTGAACTTTTATTAATATATTGGTCATTAAATTTACAAAATTTTGTTAGTATATTGGTTATTAAATTTACAAAATGTTGTAGATTTAGCTAAGCTTAATAATGCATTAAAAACAACAATGAAAAAAAAAAAAATTATATTTATTATATATAATTTATAAGAGCTATATATAATTAATTGCATCTTTCGTACATATTATTTTATTTTTTATCCTCATCTTTTTTATACAAAAAACAGATAAGGTTCTCTATACCTTTCATATTTTCTTTCATAAAAACTATCATTTCAATATTATCAAGGCTAAGGTTAGTTTTGCGTCACGATAGAAAATTGTCTGTTGTTGAAAATACTTGTTCGGAGGTAGCTAATGATGTAGAGATGCACAAGATCTTCCTTGCTAGTCTACTAAAATAAGGAAATCTCGTTCGGTCGGTCTTCCAAAGTTCAATAATATCTGGATTATTCAATCATATCTCGCACAAAGTTTTTTATTTTATATTTCACATTATAGCTTCTTAACAGCACTGTTTAATGCATGTTTATTGGACGAACTCTTATCTTCCGATGGTTGTGTAGAGTTTGCAATGCTTGTAGAACTTTCGCTTAAATCTCCTTAGTGCATAACATTTATGGTTTGAGTAGCGGTATCTTTGATATTTGCTTATAGATGACTTTTCTCGTCGAGTGCAAAGATAATTGCTCCCTTACGTCTTGGATTAAAAAAATGTGCTATTGAATACTTAATTTGGTACTTTATGACCAAAATCTATAATTTCATAAGTTTGTTCAACGAATATATATTCGAACACTAAGAATATTTTCAACGAATATTTGTTATTCAACAAATACTCGTACATCGTTATTCAATAAACAAATAATCGTCGCTCTCTAGTAAAATTAAATTAATCAACAGATTTTGAACTTTATTTTATAACCTTTTAGTATTAGAAATTTATGAATATGTAAAGTTTCCACAATCCTCAAAATGAGAGGGTTTTAAACATTACTTGTTCATAACTTTGGAACACAAAAAGAAATTTGGTAGAAATTGAAAAATTAACAATAAATTTAAATCAGGTGAAAAATTATAGGCTTTATTTTAAAATGTGTTGTTCTGTATTTAAAAAAGCGGAAAAAACTAAAAAAAAAGTTATTTTGCTTCGAGACGGATTTGAACCCATAAAAACGTTAAAATGCTGACACTGAGATCAGCAGCTAAGTATGCGGTAAAGTACATATTAATTTTTTTTTTTTTTTAACTCTAATAGTAACTTTTAAGGGGCTACCCCCCTCTGTTTTTAAATCTAAGTATTTTAAAAAAAAAATGTTATGGGTTTCTAGGTTATAGTAAAATATAAACCTTTTTAAAAAAAAAATTTAAAAAAAATTGGTGGTTTCCTTGGTAACCAAAAAATACCCCTAAAATGACCAAAAAATAACTTCACGCTGGCCAAAATATAAGAATATGTGTACATATTTAGCTTTTAAAATTTTAATACAATATTATCATAAAGTAGGGCTGTGAAATGAATGGATCAGATTTTTCATAACATTTTGCCATCATCAAAATGGCGCAATCAAAGATCATGGTCAAAATTTTCATCGATTTTAGGTCATATATATATATTTTTAATAAAATAAATAAATTCCATTCCATTCATTTCACAGAGTATAATATGATAAACACTTCCTGAAAATTTCATATAAAAATGTAATACGGTTCTCCAGATAATTTGGCCGGCGTGCACAAATTTCTATTTTGAGAAAAAGACAATTTAAGTTAAAATTTTTGAAAACAATACAACTTTTTTTCATAAAATCTGTTGAAAAATAAACAAAGTTTTCAAAATCCACCAGGAACATACAAGTCACCTTCTTTTTCAATTATTTTCTCATTCTTCTTCAGTTTCTTGGCACGTAATACTTGCCTTCTTGACTTTTTAACAGGGTTCATTCTAATTTCTGCTTTTTGTAATCTTTCATTATTTAATGATTTGCATCCTGCAATCATATGAAAGCCTGGTTCCATGTCCAGTTGCTTTAAAATATCAATAGATGCTTTTGCTCCAATATTAAAATTGGCAACAGCATCATATACACCAATTGTTAATTGGGTAAGTGATACAAATGTTTGTTTTGGTATACGCTTCTAAATCATTCCATAAAAAGACTCATTGGCATTTTGTGTCTTACCGTGCAAACATTTTTGTAACTCAATGT